ACTATGTGAGCATTCTCACATATTCATAAGTGAATCATTGGTTGAAGCAACAAGTAAATATGAGGTTGCCTATTAGGAACATATAGATTGTGAAGAAATGAAGAGAAAGAAGAACCTTTAAAAAGTATTGATAAGCCATGGAGGTAAGAAGAAAACTAGGACAATAGCATATCAGAGATTTCTAGAGCAGGGCATAGGTTGGTATAAAAGACCCAGAGAGGTCCAATAAATACTCATGGGTGTGTTAGATTTGGAAACTGGGTGACTTAAGAAGAGTTTTAATGGAGCAGTGAGTGAATGGTAAAAATGTATTTTCCAAGAAATCTGGCTTTGAAGGGAAGGAGAGAGAAACAGAGAGGGAGAGAGGGAGAGAGGGAGAGAGGGAAAAGGCATCAGTTCTCAAATTTGGTCTCAATACCCTTTACACTGTTTTCTGTGGAATCCAAAGAGGTTTTGTTTATGTTGGCTATATCTACCAATAATTACCTTATTAGAAATTGACACTGAAAAATTTAAAAATTACTTATTCATTAACTGATTAAAAATAATGAATGTACTACATGTTAGCATACATATTTTGCTAAAAATAACTACATTTTCCAAAATAAAAAGAAGAGTGACATTATTTCACAGTTTTGTTAATCACTTTAATATTCAACTTAATAGAAGACAGCTGGATTCTCATATCTGCTTTTGCATTTACTCTGCTGCAATATATTGATTTGGTTGACATATATGAAGAAAATACAGAGAGTTGGAAACAGAATTTTAACAGCCTTTTCACAAAGTAGTAGATATTTCTCTTTGACACTATAGTGAAACTTGATAAAAGATAATTTCCTAACAGCTGCAATGTGGAATCTGGAACCGTATCAGTGAACTTTGTTTCATTAAAATCCATTGTACTCTGAATGAATCTTTTACCCATAAGTGATTTGGACTCTATGAACCTCTTGAAAGAGACTTGGGGACCCCAACCACACCGTGAAAACTGCTGGCTTAAGATTTGTTTTAAGAGTTAAGCTTGGCTGAAGATACAAAAGGGATAGTGAACAGAGCATAGGTAAAGACGTCAGCCTTGAAAAGAAGGCAACTTTTTCTTCCAAATCTTGAAAGGGGTTTGGATACAGACATATTTGAAGGGAGAGGGAGAATTCCCACACAATGTTATTTTCTTGGTGAAGCAGGAGATGAGGTCATCTAGGGGTAGGTAAAAGAATTGCCCAATCACTTTGAGGGTCACTGGGCAAATGCCTATGATTTCTTCACGCTCAGGGCAAAATGCACTATTGGCTCTTGCTGATAGTCATACCTTTTGCTCCAACCTGTCACCACTCTTCTAGTGTAACAATTATCATATTTTATTGTTTGTGTGTCTGCCTTCTCTTCTAGATGGTGTGCTCTCCTAAGCAGAGACCCAACCAAACTGGGCTTTAGCAGCTACTCAAAATATTTCTGTTGAGTGTGAGAAAGACTGATTTTTTTTTTAATTAAGAAATTATATCTGCCTGTAGATTTTGCAGTTGCTCCATTCACATTATTTTCCTTTATTTACTTAGATTTCCCTCCATTGTAAGAAGTACAATGTGATTGACAAAACTAGTAAAAGTAGGACTGCTTGGTAATCCTAAAGGCTAGAGCTAAAATACAGGAAATTGAGAATAAAAAGTCTATCTTAGGACCGGGGATAAATTCTGTAGCTCTCCTACAACCAGATTTCTAGGAGAGGTGATGGCATAGGGATACCAAAACTAGAAAAGCCTTCTGACAACTCCTCTCTCTATATATGCCTATAAGTTCTGAACCTCAGAATTTAAAATTTTACTTTAAACATACGTTCGTATTTCACCACACACACATATTGGAAGAACATATACTAAAACATTAACTGTGAATACCTTTTGATGGTGATTTTTATGGTGGTTTTGTTTTCACTTGTTTTTCTGCATTTTCATTAAAAATAAATTATTATACAGAAAAAATTAAAAAGTATCACTTCTTTCAAAGTGTTCAAGAATTCAGTGTGCTTAGGATTAAAAGAAGTAGAAAAAGATATATTGCTTACAAGTAAATAAATACATATCTTCATAACTTTTCTCATGCCATTAGTTCTCATGGTAACCATTCATATTTTCAAACAAGACAACTCGGACAAGAACACGAGGTAAGATGACAATTGAGAAATATACTAAAATGAATGTTTCCTTGCGGAATACTTCTCACTTATATGGATGTTCTCAAACAAAGTATTATGCCCCAAATAGGAAATAAAAATTTTTTGTCAAATGAATTAATGAAGTTTTAAGACTGTGCTTCATCAGCACTCTTATCAGAGGAAGACAAGATAGAGGAAAGGAAGAAGATGGACTTGGAGGTTGCACGGGCCTGGGTTCTAATGTACCTCTTCCACAAACCACTTGTGACCAGACTTAATAATTGAATTTCTATGGACCTTGGTTTCTTCATCTGAAAAACAGAGATGGTAATACCTAAGACTTGCTGTAAGATTTTAAACCAACAAATGCAAAGGGCCTATCAATAATTAGGTGATTTTTAAAAATGTTGCAATAACTATTTTATGGCAGAAGTTATTTTTATATAACTTTTTTTTCTTAAAGAAAAGAAATGTGCAGAGTTGTATTTAAGCTCAGTTTTCAGAATAGTGGTAAGGGGCTACTGACAGAGTAGAAATAAGAGGTCTGAGAATATAGCTAAGCTTTTCAGGTAGTGGCAGTCTTATTTTATTAAGCATAGTATATTTAATATATTTTTAACCTCCCTAAAATACATTATTCACTCCCATGCTTTAAGCAAAATATGCTAGATAACCATTAGTCTTTATTTTTGGACAACTCAACACCTGCATTATGAGCAAAAGCTGGTGATACCTTCTGGACCTATTAAATTATATAGGGTTGCCCTTCTCAAACTGGGATATGTGCTGGTATGCCATATATTAAACAACATAATTCTCAAGCATGGATTTAATTCAATGGGAAGTAATTTAAAATGCTTTGGCTATATTAAAAATATATATAATATTTGGATGTATTAAAAACATAAAAAAACATTGTTTTTCAATATTCTAAAATATTGAATATTGAAATAAAGCAAATATTTACTAAGTGTATACTTTGTGCTGGATATTGATCCAGGTTCCTGGAGATAAAGCATTAGGAAAATAAGAAAAACATAACAACTCATGGAACTTATATTCTAATAGAGGAAGACAGGCAATAAGCAAATAAACTCTACACTAGGCTAGATGGTGCCAAGTGGAGTGGACAAAAATAAACAGAGGAGTTTCACTTTAAAACAGAGTAGTCAGAGTAGGCCTCAATAAGAAAGTGCCATGTGATTAAAGGTCTCAAGAATTGGGAAAGTTCAGACACTGGGCTTATCTGTGGGAGAAGTTTTGAGGTAAAAGGAATACTAAAAATATAAAGGTCTGAAGTGGGTTCACTGAGAACAGCAGGGAGAAGTAAGTCTGGAGAGGAAGGAGCAGAAAAGTAGCAGATTAGGAGAGCAGTGAGGCAACAGGTCTCCTAAAGCTTTATAGCTTTTGTATTGATTTTCTTTATTCTCTGAGTGAGAAGACAGTGGAGGCTTTGAGAATGGGAGAGATATGCTCTATATTCATGTCATAAAAGGACACTGGGGCTGCTGCTGAGAGTAAAGGATACTAGAGTAAGAGCAGAGAAGCAGGAGAGACCAATTGGCGGAGTACACCAACAATCCAGCGGGGAGGTGCTGGTGGCTTGGACCAGAGTGGTAGCAGGGAGGGTGCAGTTTTAGGATGCTGGCTATTTTCCTAAGTAGAGTAAACAGAATCCCATGTGCTGATATGAAGGGTGAGGAGACTGCACCAAGGTTTTTGGCCTGAACGTTTCTCGACATTTACTTAGATGGAGAAGACTGCGGATGGAGGTCTGGCCCGCAAGATCAGGAGCTTGGACTGGAGAGGTAGAAAGCAAATTTCAAATGAATGTTCAGCATGACAGCATAAAAGAAATAGGAACTTTCTGACAAATCTCTTCAAGGATTACCCCTAGACAGGGAAAAGGCAGACTTTAATATTCTCTACTCTTAGGGCTCCTTGGGCAGATAGGTTTTTCAGGCAGTAATAGAGCTCCTGGTTCCCATTCCAAATAGCTAAAATGTTTTCTCGCTTTCTCAGGGTCTGCTTTTTATGCCTCTGTTTTCTCTCTTGCTCCAGGCTGTCAGGTATACTTTTGCCATCTGATAACGTACTTATCTGATCCTTCCACCCCTCTCCACTTTCTAATTTCCTGGAAGCTTGGAAGCCAGAGTGACAGGCTAATTAGAATCTTGCGGAGGCCCAGAATGCCTTCCACGCGACGAGCATCTCTGCCCAGAGCTGGCCTTACTTCCTGGTTCTCAGGAAAAGAGATTCATTTCGTAAACCGGTTTCCGCCACACATCGCCTGGGAGTTGAGAAACCTGACGCGAGGTCGGACTGAGCCACAGGACTTGGTGACGCCTCTCCACGCCCCAGCTTCCTCCTCAGGTCCTATTAACTTTTTGATCCTCGGGAACCCACCCAAGTCTTTACGCTGGAGCAAGCTACGCCCACACAACCTACTTCCTCTCTAACTTTTCTCACTTTGAAGACAGAAGGCGATTTTCCTTCCGAAACCGTCCTTCAACAACCCTGGGGCACAGGGATGGAGGCCGGAGCGCAGACCTTGGACGACCCGTGAAGAAGACGCGCACCGCGGGACTTCCTTACCTGATCAGTAGCGGGGCGCCAGGGCTGCCCCGGCACCGCTCAGCTAATACGGCTGCGGAGGAACCCAGGTTCGGAAGAGCACCCGGGCGGGGTGGGCCCAACCTATTAGGCCCCGCCCCGTCCCTCCCGTCCCTCCTTTTTGAGCTTCGGCTCTGCAGCGGGAGAAAGCCCGGGTCTCGCCTAACGCTCTTCTTAAAGCGAGAGCCTGCCCCTTTAAGTACGCCGCTGTCGGAGGCTAAGTATTTTAGGACTTCCGGACATGCGCACAGCATTGTGCCAAGGAATTCCTTAGCCTGGACGTGAGGTAGACCGGGTCGAACTTCTTGCAAGATGGGGGGCTTCTGTGGGGGGCAGTGATGAGATTAGCTTTGGGACCCCGGCTTTTTGCCCGCAAGAGGAAGGGGTCATAGGCTAGTATCGGCGTTGGGACAGGCGGGGGTAGTGGAGGGAGAAGAAGCAGGTGGAGCCATTGGCTGCGCTAGGGGTACTTCTGATGCACCGGAAGCAACCCCGCTAGAGACTTTAGTTCTCAGAATTGGTGACAGAAAGCAAATAGGAGTGACTGCAGCTGAGCGTTGGCATTTGAAGGAAGAGCATGAGGGAAAAACGCTAGCTGCTGCATTTCTAACATCTCCCCAAATCTGCCCTCAACCAACAATTCCCCAACCTTGGGTCAGCTAAACTACCCACTCCTCTCCGCCCCGTACCCTTGTCAAGAAATCTGCTAACTAGGAATACTGCCTATTTGTGTTTAACTCCACGTGGGCTCCTTGGCGCCGTCCAGCTCAGTTCCACTCTTTTAGTAAGATGCTTGTTGTAATTCCCTGAACATTACGTTCTTCCCAAGGTGTTCTAGCGAACCCAGTAGTAAAATGTCTTCATATCTTCTTCCTTCTACTGGGGAAAGAGTACATCATTATTCTTTACAAGGACAATCCTGAAACTGCTCTTGATCACATTGCTTTCCAACTTTTGGAATTCTTCATCACATTCATCTGCTCAGTGCCATCATTCATCTTACTAAAGCATCTTTTTGGATTGTGTCATTTTTCTACTCAAACACCTCCAGTAGCTATATGTTGACCACTCAACGGATTCTAAGTTCTTGGTAGGGCATTCACTGTCTGGTAGTTTGGCTCTAATCTGAGCTGTATTTTACAGAGCTGTACTACAAAACTTTTTCTCCTATTGCTCTTGTGTCTGGGCTGTTCAATTTCCCCTAACACATTGTATATTTTGTTTGTACGTACTTATGATATGTCTCTACCTTATTCTATGTCTTGAATCGTTTTGAGGACTTAAATGGCCACTTCTTGTATTATGCTTTCTCTGATTATCATAGGCAAAAGTGATCCCTTTTTTCTTCCTTTTTACTCTTACAGCTCTTATTTTGTAGTAGTTTCATTTATTCATTTATTCAGTCAGTATTGATTGCATGCTTACTATGTGCTTGACACTGTTTTATTTTTTTTATTTTTTTATTTTTTTAAAACTTTTTATTTATTTATTCATGAGAGACAGAGAGAGAGAGAGAGAGGCAGAGGAAGAAGCAGGCTCCCAAGGAGCAGGGAGCCTGATTCGGGACTTGATCCCAGGACCCTGGGATCATGACCTGAGCCGAAGGCAGACGCTTAACCATCTGAGCCACCCAGGCGCCCGACACTTTTAAATGTGAGATAATCAGTGAATTGGGCAGACAAGACACTTGCTCCCATAGAGCTAGGATTCTAGTTGGGAGAGATATACCATAAATAATAAAATTATTAGATAGAAATACTGTGCAGAAAGTTGAGTAGGGTTTGGGGGAAGAGAGTGTCTTGTTGGTTCTTTTACATTATTAGTCAGGGATGACCTCTATGAGGATGTGATTGAGGAATGACTAATCAGCGGGAAGAGTTAACACAAAGTAATTGAAGAAGGCCAGTGTAGTTGGAGTATAGTGGGTAATGGGGAAAGGGTACAAGATAAATTTAGAGAATAGAGTCCAGAATCTTAGAAGTCTTTGGAAGCCAGGGTAAGTAATTTGGATTTCATTATCAATGTGATTAGCAGTTTTAAAGAGGATTGTGATATGATTTAATTTACCTTTCAAATCATCACTCTGGCCATGTGGAGAATGGACAATAGTGGACTAGTTAAGTAGAAGCAGATTAGAAGCCTTCACAATGTATAAGAATTTCTAAGATGGGAGTACTAAATGATGGAAGGATGGCAAGAGTAATCAGAGAGCCAGATGCTTAAAGTTGATGTAATTTTTGGTGATGAGAAAGTCAAGGTTATGACCAAGATGGCATGCAAGTGGGTTGAGGTTGAGATCAAGAAATCGAGGGACTGTGGTCTTAAGTAGATGATGCATATAGATGGACATGGAAGTCATGCTGGGTAGGAAGACATTGAGGGAGGTGTTAAAATCATCAGTGAATGAAGAGGAGTCTTCTGGGGACCAAAGAGAGGATGCCGGCAGATGGTAAAGCCTGATTGCATGAACCTCAAAGGAGTTGGGATTTGGGGCAGGTAGAGGAGGGAGAAATGGTTTGGAGCAGTGGCAAATAGAACATATTTACATCCTCCAGGTCCTAAGTTAGGTGGGTGTGAAGGGAAAAATAGCCTTCACTGAGAGGACTAGAGAAGCAGCAGCAAAGGGAAATAACCAGGTTTCAGTTATGACAAGAAACTGAGGAGACTGTGCAGGAAATTAAGGAATGGAGGAAATAAACATATCCTCATGTAGTCTAGGAAATTAGGCTACAGAGACTTTGCTGTGATTTCTACGTGGCATGATCCAGGGGGAAGTTTACTAAATTGGTTCAGATTAGTAGAATACATTGTAGAAATGGGATGAAGGTTCAGATGATGATGAATTACCTAGGGAGTGGTTATATGTGAGTAGTATGTGGTCCCTGGGCATTTTGTCTTTCATGTAGCTCTGTTTGGTATGGTAGCCATAGGCTGTGTGAAGAATGAATAAGGGCTTCTTCAGAGGATTATTCTCTTATCTACTGCTTCAAGAAGATCTGAAAAGTTTTTTTCTCTCTGATGCCAGTAGCATGGTTGGAATTTTCCTGTGGGTCAACATCAAAAGTTTGTATCTGTAAAAGTTTATAACTGGGTTTTCAAGAAGGTTTAAGGTTCAGGATTAATTTAAGTTAAATTAAATAATTTTGAAGCATAATCAAATTGCAGGTTGGTTTTTAGAACTTCATTTATCTATCAATTTGGACTATTTTTTCTTGTCTTCTGGTCCCTTCTCTCATCTCCAACTGCTAATATATAAAAATCTAGCCACAAAATCTCCAGAATTAGCTGGAAATTTTCAGGGATGGGATTTAGACAAATCATTAAGTCCTGTGTTCTGGTCTTTTCTTTGTGGGCCTACAAGTGGTATTTTTTAAAGTAAACTTGAAACTGATCCATTTTAATCCTGGATAATGGATAGAAGCTTGGAGTGGGTGAAGAGTGAAGTTGCAAATCATCAGTTATACCAGAAAAGATTGCCTGTTAATTCATCTTGGTATAGAAGGGTCAAAATACACGTGATATGTAGAAATAAATTGCTAATGTCTCTTAAGGGAGCTCAGGATTGAAAGGGAGAAAGAAAGGTAAGTCCTGCAAATACATTTCTTTTTTGTTATCCATAACTTTTCTTTCTGGTAACTGCCTCTTTCTTTCTTTTGTAGACATTTTTATTTAAGAATGGAAGAGGATACAGATTTTAGAGTCAGGTTTAGTTCTTTGTGTTTCATTACTGATCATGTTGGATTTCATGGCACTATAAAAAGCTCACCAAGTGACTTTGTTGTTACAGAGATTGATGAACAGGGACAGTTAGTTAATAAGGCCACCAATGAACGGATTAGTAAAGTACTACCTGAGCCAAATAATTTTGCCAAAAAAACAAAACTTGATTTTCAAAATTTATCCTTTAAAGAGGGAAGCAACCAAGAAGTCAATATTGTCACTGGGTGCTCTGATGATGACCAAAATCTGACTGACATCAAGACTGATGAGTCTGCTTCAGAAAAAGAAGATACTATCAATGATGGAACTTCCAAAGGCAAAGAAGAAAAAGTTGATGTTTTAGGCAACTTGTTAGATGAAAAAACTAACGAATTACTGAATCACTTTGCCTGTGATATAAAAGAGAAGTGGAATTCTAAAACTGAGCTAATTGGATCATCTCCTGAATTCTCATTAGGCAGAATCCTTGACAAAAACCAGAGGGCTATTTTGCATAGTGCTGTTAGGCAGAAATTCCCCTTTTTAATAACTGTTGGTAAAAACAGTGAGATTGTTGTAAAACCAAATCTTGAGTATAAGGAACTCTGTCACTTGGTATCTGAAGAAGAAGCATTTGACTTTTTTAAATATTTGGATGCAAAGAAAGAAAATTCCAAATTTACCTTTAAACCTGACACAAACAAAGACCACAGAAAAGCTGTCCACCATTTTGTCAACAAAAAGTTTGGAAACCTTGTGGAAACCAAATCTTTCCCTGAACTCAGTTACAATGCCGGTAATCCAAATGTAGCGATAACAGTAAGATTTCGGGAAAAAACACACAAGCACAGGAAAAGGTCTCTTTTTGAATGCCGGGATCAAAAAGTTATATACACAGGTAATGTAATAAATCATTACCATTTTCGTTGATAAAGTTAGTTAAAATTGTGTTAAAGATGAATAATTTCAAATGAATTAAATAGACTTAACCAGAGGGATGTCGGAAAAAATATTTGGGTCTAGTTTTTAGTGGAAGCTAAGGCCTTTCGAATTACACCAATTTTACGAATTAACCTTATTAATCAAAATATGGTTAACACAGTGCTTATAGTTAACATAGTCACAAATGTATAAAGTTGAAGGAGTTACTTTGTGTTTAATAAGTTTTACTGGAGATAAATCTTGATTTCATATTTTTGAAGTTATTTTAATTAAAATTAAGCACTCAGACAAGTAGAATATGTCTGCTTTGCTTGAGAAAGTGAAGAGAACACCTTGTGTTCTAAACAACTGAACGTCAGTACCCAAGGTAAAGAGCCTCCTTACAAGGAGCTCCCTCTTTGTTCGGTTACTCTTTTAGAGAGGAGGTGCTCAAACTTTAACATGCATTAAAAATCACCAAAAGGGCTTGTTAAACAGATTTCTGAGCCCTATTCTCAGAGTTTCTGATTTAGAAGGTTTGGGCCAGGGCTTTCAGAAATTCCCAGGTGATGCTTTTTCTACTCGGTCTGGGGACCACATTTTGAAAATCACTGTTTTAGCAGATATATTCAGTTCCTAGGCCTGGATGGAACTTATGAAATCTTATTCTACAAGTTTGGCTGACCAGGTTTAATTGGCCTATATCCTACATGAAGGACGGGAAGTTTTTTGGATGGTCTTTTTTATAGATATAGCAAAGCTTTTTTTTTTTTTTTCTGGTTAAACACATTATTTTATTTATTTTTAAGTTTTTATTTTAATCACCCAGTGCTCATCATGACAAGTGCTCCCCTTAATTCCCATCATCTATTTCACCCATCCCCCACCAACCTCCCCTCTGGTAACCAGCAGTTTGTGCTCTATAGTTAAGAGTGTTTCTTCGTTTGTCTCTCTCTTTTACCCCCCTTTGCTCATTTATTTCTTAAATTCCACATATGAGTGAAATCATATGGTATGTGTCTTTCTCTGACTGGCTTATTTCACTTAGCATTACTCTAACACCATCCATGTCACTGCAAATGGCACGATTTCATTCTTTTTTATGGCTGAGTAATAGTCCATTGTACGTATATGCAACCTCTTTATCCATTCATCAGTCCATCAGTGGACACTTGTATTTCTTCCATATCTTGGCTACTGTAAATAATGCAGCTATAAATGTAGGGGTGCATGTATCCCTTTGAATTATTTTTCTTTTCTTTGGGTAAATACCCAGTAGTGAGATTGCTGGATCATAGGGTAGTTTTATTCTTAACTCTTTGAGGAAACTCCATACTGTTTTCCACAGTGGCTACTCCAACAGTGCAAGAGGGTTCCTTTTTCTCCACATCCTCGCCAACACCTGTTGTTTCTTGTGTTGTTGACTTTAGCTAATCTGACAGGTATGAGGTGATATCTCATTGTAGTTTTGATTGGCATTTCCCTGATGATAAGTGATGGTGAACATTTTTCATCTTTTCATGTGTCTGTTGGCCAACTGGATGTTGTCATCATCATCGTTGTCTTCTTTTTCTTTTCTTTTCTTTTTTTCTTTTCTTTTCTTTTCTTTTCTTTTCTTTTTGTTTGATAGACTCCACAGAGCTTGAACTCATGACCCTGAGACCAAGACTGGGAGCTGAGATCAAGAATTGGATGCTTAACTGACTGAGCCACCCAGGCACACATCTGTTTGTCTTCTTTGGAGAAATGTCTGTTTGTGTGTCTTCTGCACATTGTTAAATTGGATTATTTGTTTTCTGGGTGTTGAGTTGTATCAGTTCTTTATATATTTTGGTTACTAAACCTTTATCAGATACGTCATTAGCAAATATCTTCTCCCATTCCATAGATTGCCTTTTAGTTTTGTTGATTGTTTTCTTTGCTGTGCAGAAGCTTTTTATTCTAATGTAGTGCCAGTAGTTTATTTTTGCTTTTGTTTCCCTTACCTCAGGGGACCTATCTAGAAAAAAAGTTGCTACAGTTGATGTCAGAGAAATTATCGCCTATGCTCTTTCCTAGGATTTTTATGGTTTCAGGTCTCACATTGAGGTTTTTCATGCATTTTGAATTTATTTTTGTATATGGTGTAAGAAAGTGGTCCAGTTTCATTCTTCTGCATGTAGCTGTCCAGTTTTTCCAACACCACTTGTTGAAGAGACTGTCTTTTTCCCATTGGATATTCTTTCCTGCTTTGTTGAAGATTAATTGACCATATAATTGTGGGTTCATTTCTGGGTTTTCTATTCCATTCCATTGACCTATGTTTCTATTTTTGTGTCAGTTCCATACTGTTTTGATTCCTACAGCTTTGTGATATAACTTGAAGTCTGAAATGCCTCCAGTTTTTTTTTTTTTTAAGATTGCTTTGGCTCTTCAGGGTCTTTGGTTCCATACAAATTTTAGGATTAGTTCTGTGAAAAATGTTGATATTTTGATAGGGATTTCATTAAATGTGCAGATTGCTTTGGGTAGAATAGACATTTTAACAGTGTTTGTTCTTATAATCTTATAATCTTATAATTGTTTTCTTAATTTCTCTTTCTACTGCTTCATTATTGGTGCATAGGGATGCCGCAGATTTCTGTGCATTGATTTTGTATCCTGTGACTTTAATGAATCTGTTTATGAGTTCTAGCAGGTTTTTGGTAGAGTCTTTCAGGTTTTCTATATATATTATCATGTCATCTGCAAAGAATGAAAGTTTTTCTTCTTCCTTACCAGTTTGGATGCCTTTTATTTCTTTTTGTTATTTGATTGCTGCTGTGGCTAGGACTTCCAGTACTATGTTGAGTAAAAGTAGTGAGAGTGGACATCCTTGTCTCATTCCTGACCTTAGGGGAAAGGCTGTCAGTTCTTTCCCATTAAGAATGATGTTAGCGGGCGCTTGGGTGGCTCAGTTGGTTAAGCGACTGCCTTCAGCTCAGGTCATGATCCCGGAGTCCTGGGAGCAAGTCCCACATTGGGCTCCTGGCTCAGCAGGGAACCTGCTTCTCCCTCTGACCCTCTCCCCTCTCATGCTGTTTCTCTCTCTCTCTCTCAAATAAATAAATAAAAATCTTTAAAAAAAAAAAGTGATGTTAGCTGTGGGTTTTTGATATATGGCCTTTTTTATGTTGAAGTATGTTCCCTCTAAACCTACTTTGTTGAGGATTTTTATCATGAATGGATGTTGTACTTTGTCAAATGCTTTTTCTGTGTCTCTTGAAATGATCATATGGTTCTTATCCATTTTCTTATTGATGTGATGTATCACTTTGATTGGTTTGTGAATATTGAACTGTGCTTGCAACTCACGAATAAATCCCACTTGATTGTGGTGAATGATTTTTTTTTTAATGAATGTTTTTGGATTTGGTTTTCTAGGATATTGATGAGGATTTTGGCATCTATGTTCATCAGAAATATTGGCCTTATATAGCAAAGCTTTTAGGATGAAAGCAGCAGCCCAAATTTGCACAGATTGCATGTGGCACAGAAACAGGATTGTACTGTGTAGGGACTCTGTGGTATAAATGAAGAGATTAGACCTTGAATCTATGTGGGTTTCATTTTATATTATGACTTCAGTTCATATAAAGATTTAGGAACTTTTAAATCTCTTTAAGACTGGGCGCCTGGGTGGCTCAGTTGGTTAAGCGACTGCCTTCGGCTCAGGTCATGATCCTGGAGTCCTGGGATCAAGTCCCACATCGGGCTCCCTGCTCAGCGGGGGGTCTGCTTCTCCCTCTGACCCTCTTCCCTTTCATGCTCTCTGTTTCTCATTCTCTCTCTCTCAAATAAATAAATAAAATCTTTAAAAAAAATAAAAAAATAAATCTCTTTAACACTTAGTTTCTGGGGCGCCTTGGTGGCTCAATCAGTTGGACGGCTGCCTTGGGCTCAGGTCGTGATCCTGGGATCCTGGGATCCCTGCTCAGCGGGGAGCCTGCTTCTCCCTCCCCCTCTGCCTGCTGCTCTGCCTACATGTGCCCTTTGTCTCTCCGTCAAATAAATAAATAAAATCTTTAAAAAAATAAAAAAAGACAGTTTCCACAAATGTAAAGCTGGAAAAAAATAATACCACGGGCAAATTACTTAACAATTTGTAACTTTTGGTTGTACTTTAAAAGATGGGGTAATAGTAAAGCCTAATTCACAATGATATTCTAATGATTAAATGAAATAATTAATGAAAATTTTAATATATAATAGTTATTCAAATGTTGGTGTCTTCTCTCCTGAAAATTTCTGTCTGGTATGTGACTTGCCTTATATGAGAGAGCTGCTAGTACAGCACTTGACACATGAGGCATGCAGTAAATGGTAACAGATAAATCTATTTTGAAGAGAATTGCTCATAAGTTATTTAAGCAGTTATAGGTTTTATACTACTTGAAATTCTAACAGTATTAATTTGAATTAATGAACTAAAAACTGTGGAAACTTTTTATGTATTAGTTTAAATTAGTTTTACAAAAACTATGAATAATTGGAGGGATTTATTAAGGGGAGGAACTGATGGTTCACCAGAGAATCGTATGGAGATATTGGGATATCTACAAGTCCAAGAACAAAGAAAAAGACCAAGGTAAAGTATGCCTAGCCCAGATTTTGCACAGGCCAACCTTTTGTAAGAACAAAAATAACTCATATATAAAAAAAATTCTTAATAAATAGGCCTATCTAAAAAGTAGCCATTGCTCCAAGGTGTCAAGATTATTTTAAAACAGCAAGAGATATGAAACAAAACATGTAATAATGATGATGAGAACAGACATGCAGACATTGAAAATTTTTTAAATTAAATTTGTTATACATTATCTTGGTAGTAAAAAAATAAAAATGAATATCCTAGTGTAAACAAAACTATTCTGCCTCTCAGTTCGTACCGTTTCAGTGTTTTAAATGTTAAATGCAAATAAAAACTCTTAAGTGGTCACGTTGAAAATAAAATAAAAT